GATTGGGACATACATACACACACACACACACACACAAAGAAATGAGGCATTTCAAGGCTGAAATTCAGTTAAGTAGATGATTTATCATAGATAAGTATACTATTAAAATTCTTTACATATTTTTGCATTTCATTTTAACTCTTATCTTCTAAGAGTAAGCCAATTAGTTTCAGACACCATGCATCTGAAACAATGGTTTCCAACAAGTCATTTAGCATCTCACTCATCTGTCATCAGCAAGTATTCCTATGATTTCAGCCACGTGAAACAGATCCCCCCAACCTCCTTCCATCATGAGAAATTTCTTATAACATTATTTAATTCTTATTACTGAAAAGAAATCAGCTTATGATTTAGTGTCATTGATTCAGAGCAAAAGAAATTTTCTCTGACTACCTGAGCGTGGCTCCAGCTCACTACATGAAATGATGTAGTGTTGATACAGTCAGAAAAGTAGATGAAAACTGTTCACCTTTCTACAAATGAGTTATACTTTTGTTCTTTTCTGTACAGTTGCTCTTAACTCTCAAAGTTTAGCAATGGACTTAAAAATTGACAGCCATGTTTGAGCATAGGAAGCTGGCTCAGTTATGCATAGGTGTTTGTTGTCCAAACATAAGGACCTGAGTTCAATCCCTCAGTGCCCACATAAAAACTGGGTATGGTGGTACACACTTGTAACTCCAGCATTGGGAAGGCAGGGACATGTGGAGCCCTGGGGCTTACTCGCCAAACAATCTAGTCAAATCAGGAGTTCCAGGTTAAGTGAGAGACCTTGCCTCAGGAAAATAAGGTATAGCCTGGTATGGTGGAGCACGTCTTTAATACCAGTATTTGGAAGGCAGAGGCAGGCAGATCTCTGTAAGATTTAATTCTAAATAGTGAGTTCTAGGCCAACTAGGGTTACAGGAGGACATTTTCTCTAACAAACAAACAATAACAACAACAACAAAAACAATAAGGTGGAGAGATGAGGAAGATACCTGAGTTTGAACTCTGGGATACACACACACACACACACACACACACACACACAATGCAAAATAGAGAAGGATTCATGAGAAGAATTGAAAAAAGGATATTAAACATAAAATAGGGTCCTGGAGAGATGGCTCAGTGGTTAAGAGTCCTGGCTGCTCTTGCAGAGGACCTGGGTTTGGATACCATCTTCCACATGGTGGTTAATAACTATTTCTAATTCCAGTTCCAAGAGATTCAATGCTCTCTTCTGACCTTCCCAGGTATAACATGAGTGCATTTACATACATGCAGGCTAAGCGCTCATATGCATAAAATAAAGATAATAAAAATATTTTTGAAAAAAAATCCCAGAAAGTAAGGATCACTGGGAAGAGGCCCTCTTCTGACCTCCCCCAGGCATTGCATAACACGAGTGCACTTACATACATGCAGGCAAAGGACTCATAGGCATAAAATAAAAATAATAAAATATATTTTTAGAAAAACAGAAAATAAGGATCACTGGGAAGACAGATGTCTAATCTGTCTACAGCCCAGGCCGAGGATTCTTAGAACACATTAACAGGATCATTTTCAAAGTTTTCAACGTTGTTCTGGTTTGCTTCTTCATTGCTATGACAAAATACTCTGACCACTACCAACTTGGGGAGGAAAGGGTTTATTTAGCTTACATATCCCAGGTCACAGTTCATCCGGGAGCCCAAGGTAGGAACTCAGGGCAGGAACCTGGAGGCAGGAGCTGGAGCACAGGCCATGGAAGAATGCTGCTTACTGGCTTGCTCCCCTGTCCCCTGCTCAGCCTGCTTTCTTATGCAGCACGGGCCCACCTTCCCAGGGGTGGCACCACCCACAGTGGGCTGGGCCCTCCCACATCACTCATCAAGAAGATGCCC